ACATAATATCTTATGTTCGCCTGCGAATGCATTTCTTTTTCATAACAACAAGATAAATCTAAAAAGGGTCCAAAATTTGTTAAACAAGTCTTTCAAATAAGTTTTCTTCTTAACTTTTAAGGCTGACGTGTATATCTTTAGGTGATATTTATTTTACTTTTTAAAAGCCAAGTCAGACTTCAATCATTGAGTTAACGAGAGGTAATGACCGAGGGGATCAAAATCGAACCGACCCATAATATAAGGGATTCAAATCAAACTTTTTTGAATCAGTGACCAAAATTGAACGAACCAGAAACATAGGAGACCAAGAGTATATTTAAAAAATTATATAAAAAACTATCCAAAAAAATAATTTTAAAAAAATCTGAAAGTTTTCAAAGGATCCAAACAGAGGAAGCAAATGGAATCGACGGAAGGAGAAGGAAGCTCCGAGCCGGAGATGCAATTCACAGAGATAGAAACGGCCGCCGAGTTCTTCGATAGCTCCGTCGTCTTCCACGTCGTCAAGGACACCATCGGTTTCATTCTCTACATGCACCAGCAAATCCCTTCGTATGTTCCTTTCTTTACTCCTCAAAGACTTCGTTAAATTTCTAGGTTTTCCAGTATGAATTTTAACGAATGGATCCGTTCTAAATCCATCATCCCTTGCCTATAAGTAATCAGTTTGTACCATTGAAATTCGAAAGGGTTTTTTCTCCTTTAAAATTTATTTATTTTAATAAGCTATGTTGTATAGGATATACTGATTACATTGTAATTTATACTTCATATCCAGCATTTTGCAGGATATCAGTCTTGAATTCGACTTATTGCGTACTGAATATGAAGATTTGGTATGTTAACTTTGTTGGTTCATTGATTTGCTTTCTTCTGCTTTTCAGTCATTTTTATGATTCTTTTTTGAAAAAAAAAATTTGTGCCCTAAGAATTGTGAGTTTTAGGAGGTGGATCTTGCGAAAACGGAGATGAAGGAGCGACGACAGCACATTGGCAGAATGAGAGAGGTCAAGCGAGGGATAAAAAAGATGAAAAAGTTTATGAGTACAATTTCAAGTCTTCAAAACTGCATTGCAATTGATGATAAGCGAAGCCCCTAACATCCAGGAGGTTATTTTGGTCCTTGGGGCAAGTCCAATTCGCCCTCAGCATGTTTATCAGTTGTGTTTTTCGCATTCGAATCCTGCTCCGATCGTTGAAGCTAATTTCGTGAAAGGCAAAACAGCTGAAGGGCTTTCAAGGAAGGTACCTAATGGTGCTGTTTTTACTTGAATTATAAGTAGCCCCCCTTTTTTAACCATGTAACTAATTTATTCTGTTTAACAGGCTATTAGGGCATTGATTACAAAAGGTGCAGGTTCCAGTTCCTATCCAGGTAGTTACATGAAATATTTGTGTTATTAATGCGAGTGTATCTGTGGAAGTTTAGTTGAAGGTTTTCTGTCGTCTTTGTTTTTTAGGCCCTACTAAGTTGTTTCTGATGGTTAAAGCTCCCACCTCATTCAATTTGCCTTTGCATTTTCTTCCAAAGCGTGACTTTAGATACAGTAAAAAGGTAAAGATGAAGCTGAAATTATCTATAATATCGTAAAATAAACTAGTTGTTTACGTACTAGCCGTAGCTATATGCATTTTGATTTCCACTTATATTTTGTAAGCTGTGAGTTTAATGCATCTTTCCTTTCTCAGATTGTTCCTTTCAGGTTACGGTTCAGATGTAGAACCCAAGGTTTGAAAATGGATGATGATCACAGTTCACAGACTGGCAGATCAAAAGGGATAGATTCTTCAAACGATCTAATCTGGTACAGGGATTTCTGTTTTCAATTGCATTCAACATTTTTACTTTGAATCATAATTTCTGTCAAGTGCAGTTTACTTCACAAATCAGATTAAACCTTTTATTGGATTATTGGAAAACTAAGATCCCCTTCTGGGTAATAAACCTTGTTGAGAAAATATAAGCTGGGGAAGGTTAAGATATAGGCAAACTCCAAATGGTCCAATCTTCGAAATAAACTTTTTGAACTCTTTGTCTAAACTAAGGAGACGGATTTTGTAAGCCTGTTGTCCAATGGCATGAATGTCATCCTAAGCAGGGATGGACCGAGGGAGCTGGCGGAGGCGGTCATCCGTATGAAAATTTCAAATTCTCTTATAATTTAGATAATTCTTTTTTGTATTTTCTATTGATTGCTGCAAAATCTTTTGACTTTTCACTTTGAGATTGAGAATGTAGTCTTTCACAACTCTCTAGCTATATGTTTAGGTTATACTTTTCTAGTTCAAGCAACCGGAAGGTGATTCCTTCGAATGATTATTGGCTACCTCACTGCCTCACCACTTTGCAAGATGTTAAGGGATTGTCGGTGATTGTATCAATGTTGTCTTTCTTACATTTTTAAGATACAATATCTAAACTATTCAAATCGTAAATCAGAGGATACAATAACAACCAACTGATTTGAGATTCAATCAACCTTTAATACATTTGCAAGAAAACGTGGCTGCTGATTGGCTTATTGCAGCTTGCATAATCTGGAAGCCAGTCTTTATGAATTGAAGCTGTCCTAACCTTTGCTTATACCTATTTCATTCTCTAAAGGTTTCAATGCCGGCATGCAATAAAGGGCATACCATTCAAGACACCAGAAGAAGAAGAATGAGAGGTTCATCTTCCCATGATGAATAATGCCTTCTTTCCTTAAAATTGCTGGTTCTGTTTCATTAAGAGGCTTGCTATACTTTTCTATATGCATGGATGTAGGAGTTCGTACATAATAGATTGACAAAGCTGCAAAGCTCGATGGTTGTGGTTGTAAATGGCCACCCATTACAGCACTCAGCTTCATCTTTCTAACCTGTAATTCCAACTACTTCAACTTGTATGTTGTATACTGTATTATTGAATCGACTTTATTTTGTAGCTCCCAAGAATCTGCATTACTTGAATAGACTTGTAAAATACCCCTTTCTTTTTTTATGGTATAAAATGGACTTGTAAAATGGATGTGCCAGTTTAAAAATGGACGTCTCATGTTGGTTTTGGATTAGATCTCAAATTGAAGCAATTTGGATTTAAAAATTGAGTAGATTGTTTAGGATTCACATTTGAGTCGTGTTATAAAATAGAATGTAGATAACTTGAAATTTTGGTAATTAATGAATTACTTTTTGTCAATAATCTTTAAAGTATATGGTTAAAAAGCTTTTAGTTGACACCTACCATTAGGAACAATAATTTTTCTCCCATCCCCTAAGTACAATTTGTTAAAAATAAATAAATTAATTTCAAGTTTGAGTGTCTCAAATCCTTAGGATATATGTATATTATTAGGGGTGTAAATGAATTGAGCTTGAACGAACAAGGTTATGTTCATGTTCGTTTGTTTATTTTTGAAGGTATTTATGTTCGGTTCATGTTTGTTTAAATTTTTTAATATTATGTTTGTATTTGTTTATTTATTGTTCGCATACATGTTCGTTTAATGTTCGCGAATATGTTCGTTTATATTTTTCATGAACGTGTTCATTTAGCGTTCACGAACATGTTCGTTTAATATTCGTTTCTCGTTCGTTTATATGTTCACTTTTTAGTTTTACCCTTTCATCCGGAAGTTAAAAAAATAATAAAATTACGCTAGTGTTTTAACTCCTTAAAATTCATAGTTTAAATTTCAACTTTTACCTTCCCGATATTTAAAATGTCAAAAAAAAGGAAAAGGAATCAGGCAAATGAGCTTGTTCACGAACATAAATGAACGAGTTGATAAATAAACTTGTTTATGAATATAAATGAGCCGAGCACACCACTATTTGTGTTCGTTCGTTTATTAAATGAACATAAAAGTTTTTATTTATACTCGTTTATTTATCTTAATAAACGAATAGTTCACATAATGCTTTGTTCATTTAGACTCCTGTATATTACCAATAATTTATGTGATTATAAAATTTATCTAAATTAAATTAAAATTATATCATAATAGTATAAATATTTATAATTAAATTTAAATAAAAACTCATAGTTCGACCTATGGGTGAATAGTAAATTTTCTGTTATAGAATATAGTTAGTGATGCTTTGACAAAGAAGAGATCAACAACGAGCCGAAGCCCCAAGTGAACGATTTCTCTGTCTTCCTTCTTCTTTCGGCAACCACTAAACCTTAACTCTACCTGCTTTGAATCCATAAACCATTGCTTGAAATCGACACAGTTCAAAACCCAGAAAGAAAGAAACCATGAAGTTCCTAATCGAAGACGTCACGGTCTACTTCCCTTACGACCACATTTACCCAGAACAATACTCTTACATGATCGAACTAAAACGAGCCTTAGACGCCAAAGGCCATTGCCTTCTCGAAATGCATCTCTCCTCACCAGCTACTCTCTCTCCAGACCTCAACCCCCCATCAAGCTCATTTATTGTACACGCACCGTCCACGAGATGGAGAAAACATTGGCCGAATTGAAGCTTTTGTACGATTACCAGATTAAACATTTGGGATCCCAAGCTAAGATCCTTGCAATCGGGTTATCCTCGAGGAAGAATTTGTGCGTGAACCCAACGGTTGTTGCGGCGGAGAATCGGGATTCGGTGGATGCTGGGTGTAGGAAGTTGACGGCGAGTTGGGTTCGGGCTTTGGTGGCGGAGAATCCCGATGTGCCCACGAGTAAGTTTTTTGAGAATTATGAGAAGGCTGATTCTGCTGCCGTGTTGCCACCCGGAGTTTACACCCTTCAGGTATTCATTTCTTTTTAGGTGACAAAAGGAATGATCTTATGTTCATATAGACTGATTATATTACCACTGACGTAACATTTTATGATCTCTGTTTCCGGCACTATTCTTTTTAGGATTTGAGGGCGTTTGGGAAGGAGAAGGCGTGGTGTCCGTATTATTTGGCAAGACATATGATACAGATTGCGAATGTGGTTGTTTATAGTTACCAATATTTGCTTGATCCAAAGGTGGCTGGGATTATATCCGATTAGATGCAAAAGGAGTCTGTTGTGGTCTTTGATGAGGCTCATAATATCGACAATGTGTGTATCGAAGCGCTTAGTGTTAGCATTATGAGACAGACACTTGAAGGGGCTACAAGGAATCTGAGTAGGATAAGTCGAGAGATTGATGGGTATGTATTTTTCTTTGGGCAATGTTTTTCGATATATCTATAAAATTTCCCTTTTTTTTTTTGGTGAAACTGATCGGTAGTGGACTAGAGTGCTGTTCTATATGCTTCAAGTAGTTCTCTGTAATTTCTTAGGAACAACTTTCATATTAGTTATTGAGGAGTTTATCATCCCTTAATTTCTGAAATGGATGTGTTTATTTAAATTGTATATCATGGTAGGAAGGTTCAAGGCCACTGATGCTAGCAAACTGCGTGCTGAATACAACTGATTTGTCGAGGGTTTGGCACTGAGAGGAAACTTACCTAGTATGTGGAAAAAAATTGTTTTTTTGCTAAATACTTTCATCACTATTTCTTTTGTTTTATTATAGTCGCACATCGTTAATTTTACACTCTTCTCCTGTGCCAGTCACTGATAACTGGCTCTCAAATCCTGCTTTGCCCGATGATATTCTGAAGGAAGCCGTGCCGGGAAATATCCGTAAAGCTGAGCACTTCTTGCATGTTCTACGGAGATTGGTTCAATATCTACGTGGTCGGCTGGATACTGAGAATGTTGAGAAAGAAAGCCCGGTTGGCTTTGTTGCCTCTATCAGTAGTCATGCTGGAATTGACCAGAAGACATTGAAGTTTTGTTATGATCGTCTGCATTCACTCATGATGACTCTAGAAATAACTGACACGGATGAGTTCTTACACATCCAAACCATATGTGACTTTGCAACTCTTGTAGGCGCTTATGGTCGTGGGTTTTCAATTATTATCGAACCTTTTGATAAAAGCATGCCATCTATTCCAGATCCTGTCTTGCAGGTTAGTCTTAGTTACTTTTTAGTTTTTCTGAATTAGTGATGTCAGTATGTTGACAAACTTCCATAAATCTGAAAATAACAATAGGAGTTTTCTCCTTCAATTAACATGTCCCAGAGATATTTTCCAAGATCTCTTTTTTATCGACACACTTTGAGTTTGGAAGCTCCATCCATGTTGATTTGCGGGGGAACAAAATGAAGATGATAAATTTTCATTGGTTTTAGCTTTTTTGTATAGTATCTCTAATTTCTTAACATCTGTTTTCCAAATGTGGTCATATACATGATTTATCTTCCATGTCAACATTCAATGTAGGCCTCTGTTTCACTATGAGATCTAATCTTATGGTTTTTCTAGTGCTTGTTCCACTAATTTCTCTTTCCATTACAATATCATTAATATGTGATATTATTCTGTCCTTTTATGTACTAATTTTTATGATTTGGCATTTCAGCTTAGTTGCCATAATGCTTCGCTTGCCATAAAGCCTGTGTTTGACCAATTCCAGTCAGTTGTTATTACATCTGGCACACTCAGCCCTATTGATCTGTTCCCTCGCCTTCTTGATTTTCATCCAGTTGTTAGTCGTAGCTTTAAAATGTTTTTGAGAAGAGATTGCATATGTCCAATGGTTCTCACACGTGGAAGGTAGACCGATTTTTAATATTTACCCTTTATTATGAGAACTTAAGGAATTTGTAACATTTAAGATATTGAAGGCTTATAAATATAGTCATTACTGTATGGCTTGTTCTTGCAGTGACCATGATAGAGAAGCGGTGGCGGATTGATGAACGTTGCTCTTGTTGAAGAATCAAACCTAGAAAAGCTCTAGACTCGATGAAGAACAATAAGGAATGAATGAGGAAGGTGGCGGCAATAGCTAGGGTTCTTTAGGGTTCTTTTAGTGCTGGAAACAAGAAAAGAACAAGATAAAATAAGATAAACAAAAGATAAAGGAATTAAAAATAGAGAAAATAACCAAGAAATCAAAGATCTCCCTTATGAAAGTGAACGGTAAATGATTGATGGCGTGGAGGATATGGAAAATCGATGGATAATGTCCTATCGAGCCCTCCTAGTCGCAATGAAAAGGCAAACACGATAATATGGCTCTAACCAACCCTCCTAGTCGCGATGAAAAGGCAAATTGGAGTGTGAAGATTAATCTCCCTCACAAGAACTTGAAAGAACTCCAGGAGAAGAAGCTTCAAAGGCACAAGGCAATCAGCACTTGCAAAAACAAACTCTCGTTGTATTATTGATCAAAGAAATCTAATTTACAAAGTTGAATGAAGCCTCCTTTATATAGGAGATGAATTCTAAATGTCCTAAATAACTAAAGAATAAAATATTAATAAACTAAACATGTTTTAACTCTAATTCCTAATAAATAATAAAACTAAAATATTGTTTTAACCCAACCTTAATTCCTAATAAAATAATAAATTTGATCCTAAAGATAATTAATCATCCTATTAAATTATATTACAAATAATCAATATAAATATTGAAAATTCGTAATATTTACAAAATAACGTATTAATCCGTATAAGATTTCCTGCATGCACCGTCTTCAGTAAAATGACCATATTGATTCCCGATATCGGATTGATGCGATTCAAGAACCATTGGAAAGATAAGAGACCAACGGTTGTATCTCCAGAAGACATGTCGACCGGATAACAACTGGATCCCTTCAAAAAGTTGTTGCAAATCTGCTATCTGAAATATCAAAAGGAGATAAGTCGGAAACATTAAAGGATGCACTCACGTTATACTCACCGGGAAGATCAATGCGGTAGGCGTTGTCATTGATTCGTTCAAGAACTTGGAATGGGCCATCGCCTCGTGGGTCTAGCTTGGATTTCCTTTGTGTCGGGAACCTTTCTTTTCTCATGTGAACCCATACCCAATCTCCTGGTTCAAAGGTGACATGTCGTCGGCCCTTGTTAACTCGGTTTGCGATTGCCTCGTAGGTTTTCTCCATCTTGAGTTTGGCTTTGGCGTGAATGTCTTTGACAAGGGCAGCCTTCTTTTCACCATCTAAATGGCAACCTGATCTAAAGGTAAGGGAATAAGATCCAAAGTAGTTAGTGGGTTAAAACCATAAACTATTTCGAATGGAGAATAACCTGTTGTGGAGTGAATGGATCGATTATAAGCAAACTCAACAAAAGGTAAACATTCTTCCCAATTACGGGTATTCTTACCTACCACAGTTCTTAGCAAAGATCCTAGAATCCGATTTATTACTTCGGTTTGTCCATCGGTTTGAGGATGACAAGAAGTGGAATAGAGAAGTTTTGTGCCAATCTTACCCCCATAATACCTTCCAAAGTGGCTTATGAACTTAGTGTCACGATCGGCACAATGGTGCGAGGAATGCCATGAAGGCGGACTATTCTCGAAAGAATAAATTAGCAATATGTGTGGCATCGTCCGTTTTATGGCAAGGAATGAAGTGTGCCATCTTTGAGAATCTGTCCACAACCACAAAAAATACTATCTCTCCTTTCTTAGTGCGGGGTAAGCCAAGTATAAAATCCATCGATAAATCGATCCAAGGAGAAGAAGAAATTGGTAAAAGTGTATACAAACCATTAGGATTTACCTTTGACTTTGCTTGTTTGCACGTGATGCATGATGCACAAATCTTTTCCACTGTTTTACGCATGTGCGGCCAAAAGAAGTGTTCCATGACCATATCAAGTGTTTTATGAATACCGAAGTGTCCCATAAGTCCTCCGGCATGTGACTCGTGAACCAAGAACTCTCGCAAAGAGCCTTGTGGTATACACAACCTGTTCATGCGAAAAAGAAGCCATCTACAAGATAAACTTGTTAAAAGCACCTTTTACACATTGTTTATAAATCTCAGAAAAATCTAGATCGTTAGGAAAGTTCTTTGATATGTGCAAAACCAGAACAGTAGCATGCATTCGAGTGATAAGTGTATCGTCGGGATAATGCATCAGCTACGATGTTATCTTTCCCTTGTTTGTATTTGATGATGTAAGGAAAAGATTTAATGAACTCAACCCATCGAGCATGTCATTTGCTAAACTTACCTTGTCTATTTAACCATTTGAGTGATTCATGGTCCGTGTGAATGACAAACTCTTTAGGGAGAAGATAGTGTTGCCACACTTCGAGTGCTCGGACGAGTGCAAGAAGTTCCTTGTCGTAGGTAGAGTAGTTCAATTGTGCACCTTTTAACTTTTCACTAAAGTAAGCGATAGGTTGTCTTTCTTGCATGAGGACGGCACCAATGCCTATGCCTGAAGCATCACATTCTAGCTCAAAGGTGTTAGAAAAATTGGGAAGACGAAGAATAGGGGCAGAACATAATATCTTTCAGAATTTCAAAAGCTTTTTGTTGTAGTGGTCCCATTTGAATTCAACTGACTTTTTGATGATCTCGGTTAATGGTGCAACAATGGTTGAGAAATCTTTGACAAAGCGACGGTAGAAACTTGCCAAACCATAAAAAGATCTTACCTCGGTGATGGAAGTAGGCGTGGGCCATTCTTGAATTGCCTTGACCTTCTCTTTATCTACATGAATACCCCTGTACACTAACTATAAAGCCTAAAAACATAAGCTTATCACTGTAAAACACACACTTATCCATGTTAGCATATAAATGTTCTCGTCGAAGAACTTCGAGAACCATTCGAACGTGAATGACATGAGAATCAAAAGAAGATGAGTATATAAGAATGCCATCAAAGTAAACGACAACAAATTTACCTATAAACTCCTTAAGAACGTGGTTCATTAATCTCATGAAGGTGCTTGGAGCGTTTGTGAGTCCAAAGGGCATAACAAGCCATTCATACAAGCCGAACTTTGTCTTGAATGCTGTTTTCCATTCGTCACCTTCTTTCATTCGAATTTGATGGTAACCACTCTTCAAGTCAATTTTGGTGAAGACACTTGCACCATGTAGTTCATCCAACATATCATCTAGGCGTGGAATAGGATGCCTATACTTGATTGTTATCTGATTGATAGGTCGACAATCTACACACATTCGGAATGTGCCATCTTTCTTTGGAACTAGAATGACGGGAACTGCACAAGGACTAAGACTCTCACGGCTGTGTCCTTTTTGTAATAATGAATCTATTTGTCATTCCAATTCCTTCGTTTCCTCAGGATTGCATTGGTAAGCGGGGCGGTTTGGTATGGTTGATCCAGGGATGAAGTCGATTTGATGTTCGATTCCTCTTGTAGGTGGTAAACTATCCGGTGGGTTGCTTAAGACATCTTGAAACTCCTGTAATAGAGAAGAAAACACACTAGGCAAATCTGTGATGTTAGTGATAGTTGATAAAATGGAGTCCTTGAAACGGATTAGAATGCACGACCTATTTTGAAAAAGGGTATCTCTCATATCTTTTGCACTCACATAAATGTTTTGAGACACTCTTTTATTTTCACATTGAGGTTCACTCACCACCCGTGGGGTCATTTGTTTGGCTTTTATCGGTTGTGGCCTCTTTTGTCTTTTATTTCAAATTCCATGTTTCCTTGAGAATTCGTTGTTAATCTATGAGAATCTCTTTGGGGGTAGGGGGTTAAGTGGGAACGGTTTACCTTTTATTGGAATTTTGTAAATGTTCTTTCGACCATAATATGTGATGTCGTTGTCGTATTGCCAAGGTCGTCCTAAGAGAATGTGGGATGCTTGCATCGGAATTACATCACACCATACATCGTCACAATACTTTTCCATCTTGATATTAACGAGGCATTATTTAACCACCTTCATCTCGGCACTCTCATTAAGCCATTGTAAGCAATAAGGTTTCGGATGTCGTTGGCAAGGAAATTTGAGTGATTCAACAACGTTGGAGCTAATGACGTTGACACAACTACCATTATCAATGATGATGGAGAATGGTTGTTCCTTGATTAGGCAGTGTGTGTGGAAGATGTTGGAACGTTGTATGTCAGACTCGTCGGATGCTTGGATGTTCAATGTATGACGGATCACCAAGATTGTGCCATTGTACTCATCGCTTCCATAGTCATCACTGTCTTCTTTGGCTTCGGCATGTGCTGGAATGTCGGCGATGTCGTCATCGGAGTCAGAATTGTAAGATCCATCACCTAGTATGGTTAAGGTCCTCGTGTTTGGACAATTGCGGCTGATATGGCCTCTTCCTAAGCATTTAAAACACTTGATGTCTCTTGCTCGGGTGTCGTCTTTAGGGGCTGGAAGTGTCTCATTCTTCGCTGGTCGTTGTTTTTCTTTGTCGAGTTTGTCATCTCTCGACTTTTTTTGAGAAGATGGAGTAGAAGATGAGGAAGGATTTGAAGGATTACCTTGGTAAGAGAATGAAGTACCTTGGTAATGTTCTCTGAATCGGAATCTCCTTTGTATTTGTGCTTCGATTGTCATTGCTTTCTTTAGTGTATCTTCGAGGTTTTCGTACCCATGAAGATCAAGAAGATCAATGTTGTTTGAGTTTAAGCCAACGACGAATCTTGACATGGTGTCTTCTTTTTCTTCAGTTATGTTAGCCCTATTGAGTAAGGACTGCATCTCCTTGTAGTAATCTTCAACTGAACTTCTACCTTGTCAAAGTCGGTGTAGTCGTTGTTTAAACTCGGTATAATGTGTCGGTAGGAACGGTTCCTCATGGCATGTTTGAGTTCGGTCCAAGACGTGATTGGTTGAATTTGGTAGTTGTCGATCTTTTCCTTGTTTGCATCCACCAAGTGTGAGCATATCCTTCGAATTCCAAGGTGATGAGGGGAACTTGTTCAGCTTGGGGGCAGTCATTGTATGCGAAAAGAGATCAACTTTTCCTTCCCAATCGATGTACTTGTCTGGGTCGAGTCTCCTTTAAAAGACGGATCGTGAACTTTGGTTTTGCAAAGAGTTCGGGTGTTTGAAAACGTGGTTGTGCTCGCCTGGGGGCCAAAAGTTCAGCATTGTTTGGCCTTGGATTCTGGTTTGGTAGATCAGTTGTAGTTCTGCCTTTCTCTCAAGGCATTGTTAAGTTGATCAAATTGAGTTGTGAGTCGTTCAAGTGCGGCTAAGATAGCCGTAAGTGTCCTCATTGTATTGTCGCCCATCCTGCAATATAACATCAAAAGAAGATTTTAAAGTAGAATAAAAATAAATAAAATAAATTCAACAAAACAAGAAACCTCACAAGTCACTCCAAGAAAGTAACACAACGAGAGGCAAGTAAACGATCTTGTACTCTTTAAACTCACTTTACCAAGTAGTCTTTCACAGTTCGTATCGGAGTTTGAGTACTAGCAAAGGCGATAAGAAAAACCTAAAAACTCTAAGAGGCCAAACAAAGGTTAGACTCCAAGAGAACGAAAATACAAAGAAGGAAGAAGTATGCAAACTCTTTAGTCCTACTAACACAAAGAAGATAATGTGTTAGATAATGCAAAAGAACAATAACAAGAAAAAATAAAAGAACCTAAAGCACTAAGAGTCAAAGAAAAAGGGAAAACCAGAAAACCTAGAAAACGCTGGATCAACTTGAGCAACGTTTTTGAGGGGGTTACCGGTGTCCAAAAATTCTGAAAAATTTCTAGAATGTCTTTCGATGTGTCAAGAAACCACCTGTAAAACTTCAGAACCAAATACCTTCAGTAGTATCCAGTAGACTCTGTTGAACGGTGAGTCCTCAAACAATCTGTTTTTCTTGATCACTTTTTTCGAAGTTGTTCTTGATCTCCAAAAACTCTGATATTTTGTGTGAATGATCTCCAATATATGAAGTTTCAATCTGGAAATTTTCACCACAAAATTCTTCCTGTATAATTTTCAAGAAATTTGACAATATTCTAGACCGAATCTGCTGATAAAACTTGAATGATGTATTTGAAGGCTCTAATGAACTCTGATTGAAGTGAATTTTGGAATGGAAATTAAAATTAAGATGGATATGATATCTACAGAAAATCAGCCCTAAATACCTTCGTTTGCATTTTTTTTGAAATTTTGGCTTTTTTGTTTTGTTTTTTTTTTTGCCTTTTTTTTTATTTTTTTATTGAAAAAAATAGCAAACTAACAAGAAGGATTTGAATCTAAATTAAAATTAAATAAAAAGAACCTAAAACGATGAATCTTCTCTGAACTAGCTCCGTTGGGGGTACCTTAACGGTTGTGTGTGCAAGAACAAGCAAAATGCTTGCTTCTTCCAAGAATCGGCCCAAATATGATACCAATTGATAGGGAAGCTGTGGCGGATTGATGAACGTTGCTCTTGTTGAAGAATCAAACCTATAAAAGCTCTAGACTCGATGAAGAACAATAAGGAATGAATGAGGAAGGTGGCGGCAATAGCTAGGGTCTTTAGGGTTTCTTTTAGTGCTGGAAACAGAAAGAAACAAGATTAAAATAAGATAAACAAAAGATAAAGGAATTAAAAATAGAGAAAATAACCAAGAAATCAAAGATCTCCTTTATGAAAGTGAACGGTAAAGATGATTGATGGCGTGGATGGATGTGGAAAATCGATGGATAATGTCCTATCGAGCCTCCTAGTCGCAATGAAAAGGCAAACACGATAATAGGAAGGTGGCGGCAATAGCTAGGGTCTTTAGGGTTTCTTTTAGTGCTGGAAACAAGAAAAGAACAAGATTAAAATAAGATAAACAAAAGATAAGGAATTAAAAATAGAGAAAATAACCAAGAAATCAAAGATCTCCTTTATGAAAGTGAACGGTAAAGATGATTGATGGCGTGGATGGATGTGGAAAATCGATGGATAATGTCCTATCGAGCCTCCTAGTCGCAATGAAAAGGCAAACACGATAATATGGCTCTAACCAACCCTCCTAGTCACGATGAAAAGGCAAATTGGAGTGTGAAGATTAATCTCCCTCACAAGAACTTGAAAGAACTCCAGGAGAAGAAGCTTCGATAATAAAATAATAATAACTAAAAATATTGTTTTAACCCAACCTTAATTCCTAAAAAATAATAAATCTGATCCTAAAAGATAATTAATCATCCTATATTAAATTATATTACAAATAATCAATAAAATATTGAAAATTCGTAATATTTACAAAATAACGTATTAATCCCGTATAGGATTTCCTGCATGGATTGATGCGTAATATTTACAAAATAACGATTAATCCCGTATAGGATTTCCTGCATGCACCGTCTTCAGTAAATGACCATATCTTGAGTTTCCGATATCCGTTCAAGGAAAGATAAGAGACAAACGGTTGTATCTCCAGAAGACATGTCGACCGGATAACAACTGGATACCCTTCAAAAAGTTGTTGCAAATCTGCTGCTATTAGACCCTTCCGGATGAATGCTTGAACTGCGATTTGAAGCTTGTCTTTAAGAAGTTTGGTCCGGCCTCGTGTGATAGGGCCAAGTGGTATAGTAAATTCATCATCCTTAGCTTTAGGGCATGTGGTGCATGTATCAGACCAACTTCCTGTTGTACCAAATTTGATATGAGAAGTGATTCAGGTGTTGTGAGGAATTATGGGAAGCTCTTGTTGGAGATGGTATATGTTGTCCCTGATGGAATTGTCTGTTTTTTCGTCAGTTATTCGTACATGGATGGAATTATTAACACTTGGAATGATACTGGGATTCTGAAGGTGTGGATATTTTTTCTCTTGTTATGTGCAAAGAAGTTGACCATCTTTCATTCCCTTCTGGTCTCTTCCCTCCTATATAGGGCTGGTTAACTTGCTTGTAAACAACCTTATCTTTGTACTGAAAGAAGATGTATATCGTTTTCCAGATAAAATGTTATAAATCCACCTCTTGTAGGATATAATGCAACATAAGCTTGTCTTCATTGAGACGCAAGATGTTGTGGAAACATCATTGGCTCTGGACAATTATAGCAGGGCTTGTGACTGTGGAACAGGTGCAGTATTTTTTTTGTTGCCAGGTACAATATCAATGATGAAATGTATAAATTTGAATCTTTGTTGTACAGCATGCAATATGTTGTTAGACTGGTTCATAGGCTTGCAGTCATTCAATTGTGGTCATTCTAAGTTGTTTCTGTTTTTGTTACTACCAGTTACTGGTCTGCCTCATCATTTTTCTTTCTTTCGAGCTGTTTATCTGGTATAAAGAGGTGACGCTTATCATATTCTAATTCAATCAACTGGATTTCTCATGGATGTTGAAGGGGGAAGGTTGCTGAAGGTATAAATTTTGATCGACATTATGGCATACTAGTAATCATTTAATTACCTCTCTAGTTTCCATTTTGCATATTGTACTTTATAGGCAGACAATCTATAGTTACAATAGTTTTTTATTTTAAAGAAGTTGACACAAGTCAGATTTTCCATGTCTGCATGTCAATGAAGTTAGGTTTTCTTTCAGAATATTGCTGGCCAGGTTGGAGTACTTACGAGACACATTCCAGATAAAGGAAGGAGATTTTCTTACTTTTGATGCCTTGGTATGATTCTACATCCATCTTTGTCCTGATAAAAAGCTTTCATTTTTTATTTTCCTTAACATATTATGAAGTGTGACAACTGTTTTCTTGATACTAAGCAGGGGCAAGCCGCTCAATGTGTGGGCCGGGTTATACGTTCAAAGGCTGATTACGGGATGATGATATTTGCCGATAAGAGGTTTATATATCTCCTACTCATTGATCTTATTCCTGTATATTGAAATTGGAAATTCCTTTTTTGGTTGACAGTGTCTCGGCATGACAGTTTTCCTACTTTCAGCCTTCTGAATTAGTAGTTTGATTTTTAATTAATGCAGGTATAGCCGACATGACAAGCACTCAAAATTGCCTAGTTGGATACTGTCTCATTTACAAGATGCAAACCTGAATTTGAGCACTGACATGGCTTTGCATATAGCTAGAGAGGTGTGTCCTTTGATTGTTCAATCAAAATTTTGTCCACATTGAGAAGTTTGTTCTAATGTAGTTCATCTATGATTGAGGCTAAATCAAGGAGTTGGTAATGAAATGGAGTTGTTTTGACATTTGAATTAATTTGGAATTCGTTTAGAAACTTACTTTAGTATGGATCATTGATGTTGTAGTGATTATTTTTTTGGAAAGAAAATTGGTAATGATTAAGATAACAAGTTCAAGCCCTTTCTCAATGTTCTTTTTTGTTTTCAATAGGTGGCTTTTGATGCTAAAAAACAATTGACTGTTATGAATTTGTGTTTGGACTGAAATCATGTATTGACCATAGACTCCTGTTGAAGGTTCAAATCTTGTTTTGGTTTTTCTTTATTTATATTTGATGAGCGGAAGTATTAATATATTAGATATCAGAAATACCATATTTGAAGTTGACGAGCTAAGGATATCTTATCTGATTGTTGTAATTGTTGTCCTAAGTTTTGCTTTCTTTTTCTTTGGGAGCTGTTCCTAAGAAAAATGGCTCAACCGTATGATAAGACCGGTAGTAGCGATAGGAAGACATTACTGTCACAAGAAGATTTGGAGAAGATGGGCGACAGAAGCATGCATGAAATGTTTTATTAAAGGTTTCTCTTTCATCTCTTAACTCTTTTTCCGGATTCGGAAAGTTTGTCAGTGGCAAAGCTGTTGGTTTTTCAGCAGGTTAATGAAGCATAGCTGTGAAACTTTAAATTATTTGCAAGAGCGTTTGCTAGCTAGTTAGCTGCTTCCTTTTCACCTCCATTGCTGGAGATCTTTTGTCAATTCAATTCAATTCAATTTTATGACTAAGGACAAGGTAATAAAAATATCTAGAATTTTCAAATATGATTTCCTTTATCAAGTTTCTTTTTCCCCGGAAATTTTCCTCGAGTAAGTGACGATTGCATCTAGTAGAAAAATTACGGTAGTAAATTTTGTGTTCTGAAGCTATTTCGGGTAGAGCTTACGAGGTCACCTTGTATGCTAATTGACTGGTTTGTAAAAACATTGCAGTATCCGTTTTTAATTTGAAGTAGTTGGTTGTAGTGTTGCTGTGATGGCTCAGTTTTTGGATTATATTCTGTTGGAGCTCACATAGGCTTTTCGATAGTGCCCTGGTCGGGTTGTGGGGTTCCTTGGAGTGGTCTCACTCCGACCGAAGGCTGCGGACCTCTTTCTTTGAGGACCCTGGGACTCCCATTGTCTCTCGTTGCCTCGTATTGCTGCTTCTTTGGTATTCCTTATTGAACCTTGTTTAGTTGTTTGTATGGTATTGTTTTCTTGTTTTTGCTCGGGGCAATGCCTAGTGTTTTTTTTAAGGGTAACCTATACTAGGTACCACTGAACTTTGTCTGTTGACTCATTTATACTACTGAACTTTCAATTTTGTCAATTATAACACTGAACTTTAGTTTTATATTCAATTATGTCACTCCGCCGTTAAGTCACTAACGGAACGATGACATGGCTAATGGTTGCTGACGTGGCATGCCATACCAAAACGACATCGTTTTGGTGCGGTTGTTCTAATGCCTAAAACGATGTCATTTTAGACATTAAACTTTAGAGGTGTATCGGTTATGCCGCTGAACTTTTAAATAATTTTCTTCTTTACCACTGTATTTTTCGACTGCGTCGACAGTCAATAGTCGTTTGTCACTGATCATCTTTCACGGTGAAATCGGTACCAAAATGATCGCATTTGTCTCCTCATTATTCTCATAAAATTAGTTTGCATGAAACCCACTTAGAATTGATAAAATTAAACACAAAAAATCTAATATTTTTTAGATGTTAAGAGACTTTATTAGATTTACAGGATTTGGGGTATTTGTTAAAAAAATTGAACATTAAAAAGCATTATTTCGAGAAGACGAACAACATACTTTAAAACTAGTCTCATCGATCGATCATTAAAAGAGATCGGAATATTAATACATTAAACTTTTAAATGAATTTTCGTCGATTTTGAGTGAGTTTCATGAGAAACAAATCTTAGGAGAAGAAAGAAGAATGAAATATGAACGTTTTGGTATTGATCGTGCCACGACATATGATCGATAAACGGCGGTGCTTGGCTGTCGATGGTAGCCGGAAAGTGTTGTAGTAAAAAATAAAACTGTTTAAAAGTTAGTGGCAAAACTGATACACTCCAAAAGTTTAGTGTCTAATACGACGTCGTTTTAGGCATCATAACAACCACCCCAAAACAACGTCGTTTTAGTGTGACATATCACGTCAACAATCGTTAGTCATGTCATCGTCTATTAGTGACTTAACAGCGGAGTGTCATAATTGAATATAAAACTAAAATTCAGTGCTATAATTGGCAAAATTAAAAGTTCAGTTGTATAAAGGAATCATGAAAATTGAAACATATAAACCTGAAACGAACGCTTTTATGATTTTGGTTTAATTAACCAATTATTTTGTATTTATGGTAGCTTTTTATTCGTAAACAAAATCAAACGGAGACTGCGTAGTATACACAAATAAGGGTATGATCTTTGAGAATAGTTAAATAAAGGCCTAATGTTTTCGTATTTGCTCTAAGGGTCTAACATCTTCGGCAACAATGTTTTTCTTCATTATTTGAGCTTTGAAAACATTAGATCCTTATTCAAGCATATTCGAAAACGTTATGCCATCATTTGAATAGATTTGAAAACGATAGGCGTTTATTTGACTGTTTTGAAAGGTTAGGTACTTATGTAATAATGATAACAACATTATAAATATAGGGTTAAGATCTACTTATTGTCAACATACCTTTTCGTCCTACTAGGATTCAAATTCCTAAAAATAGGATAGAATTTTGCTAGGATTCAAACTCTTAAAAATAGGATAGAGTTCTACTATGATTTAAACTCCTAAAGATAGGATCCACAAGCACTATAAATAGCCATTGTAACTCACTATTGTAACACACGATTTACAGACAAAATACAGAGGAAAACACGGAAAATACAAAGGCAAAGCTATTGTAAACGATTCGAAAAGGAAATAAAAGGTAGCATTTTTTTTGATTCGTTCATTTCTCGCATGTGCACGTTATTTTTTTGAGATTTGGTTTGAATAACCCAAAACGTGGGTTGCGCCGATGACCAAAAATGGGTGGGGTTTCGAAGTTTCGAACCTAGATCTACCCTGAGACGTGTTCATTTTTTATCCCCTAATGCGTAATATCAACGTTAATTATCTTTCAAATTTATATTAGTCCTTTTATTTATTGTATAGATATTTTTATTTATTTATTATTTACATTATTGTCATTATATAAATATATATACGTATGTTTTTTTAAATGATTTCAATTGATTTTTTTACACTATATATTATTATATATACATATATTTTTTTATTTATTTATATTCATTTGGTTATTTTTTAATACTATATTTATTATTTATATATATATATATATATATATATATACTTTTTTTTAAATATTTTACTTATAAGCGTATTATTACTATATATATATATATATATTGTAATTATCTTTATTTAGTTTTTTTTACTTTATCATTATACTTATATATGTATGTTTTTAATAGTTTATTTATAAGCCAATTATCATTATATGTATACTTTTATATTTGGTTTATATATTTATTATTTTGTGTTTGGTTTTTTTATTTATATTATATTATATTTTCATATTACTATTATTATTGTTATGATTATTATTTTTCTATTTTACTCATTTATATATATATATATACATTTTAATATTTCATTTATTTATTTATTTATTTATTTTTCCTTTTATTTTTTTTTTACTTATTTTTATTCTTCATTTTTTCATTTATTCATTTTTTCCTCTAACAATCTTATGACTTTTAAGGGTATTTTCGTCAATTAATCAGAGGTAAGTAATTCATGATCAAATTTTACCTTTTAATTTAAAATTACAATTTTCTTAATTAAGACAACTGGAAATTACGTAGTACCGAAAGGGCGGTTCAAGGGTGCTAATCCTTCCTTGACCGTAACCGACTCCCGAGCCCGACATATTTCTGGTAAGACGCAGATCAGGTAAGAAATAGGGTATCCGATCAACCCATTTATTTTTAAATAAATTATCGGTGGTGACTCCCAATCCACATTTTTCAAGTCAAAGCCCAATCCCGGGGCCCAATCGAAAGACGGTTGCGACAGCTTGGCGACTCCGCTGGGGATTATCAAGTGAGTCAGGCTAAGGTAATTTTCAGTTGTCTTTTCAACGAAAAGGGTAAGTTTAAATTTTAAGGTAACATTTCGATCCTTATTGCTTACTTTTGATTATATTTTTTTGAGTAAATAGTTGTACTAACTGTTTTCTCAATGATTTCAGCCCTTAAAGTCTTTTTTCATATAAGGCTCTAAACCATAGCTCCGAACCCGTTTTAAATGGGGGTAAAAGCGACGCATTCGTGTGAATTTATTCACCGCATATGCCTAGCAAGTAGCCTTTGGGATTCATATACCTTATGTCTTCGTGTGAATTTATTCTCCGCATAGACATAAGGGAATGTGTCCTCTCGAGTTTAACTTAGTCCACACAAGCCTGTGATGGATTTTAGGACTAAGGGTCTGGCAAGCCCAAGGGGGCACCAGCAAGGAGAACTTGGGTACCGTTTTTTAGCACCTAAACCGGGAGACTTTGAAGAATTAGAGCCTACCCCAAAACCTCATTTCAAATCCTAAGATGCCATAATTATTTCATGCTTTACTTTCTGTTCAAAGCATGTAAACTAGACAAATATGCGGTTAGGATTTGTTTGAAATTAGCATGCGGGATAGAGATCATGTCCGAGTAGGAATACTAAGCATGTTCGGGTAGATATCATGTGGGGTAGGATTTTTCATTTTATTAATTTAATTTACCTCACTAATATTTTTTATTTTGTCCTCTTTTATATTTTGTTTTCATCATTTGCATCATAACAAGAGGCCATTGATCCCTAAAAAGGTGTTTGTTACACAAAATAATCTGAATTAATGGATAAAGGTGTTGTAATACAAGAGATTAAAAACCCCGAGGTACGACTATGGTCCGAGAAGACTCAGAAGGAAAAGGGAGACAGTCTTTAAGAAAGCTATGTGTCAGAACTGGTTAGCTACGCCTCTATTAGCCTAAAGCAGAATGACATGCAAGAGCTTTGGGACATCTGGGGCAGTTAGAAGAATGATTGGAAACAGAAGTTCAGTCAGCGATATGGTGACATTGCACTTTTGCTTCATGTTAAGACTGATGAGCCCTTAATCAGAGCCTTGGTTCGATTCTGGAACCCGGGATACAATTGCTTCACTTTTAACCAGGAGGACATGGTATCTACCATCGAGGAGTATACTACACTATTGCACTGTGAAAGCATTAAACAGGAGCGAGCCTACATCAAACACATCAAGAGTCAGTCTTTCAAGAACAGACTGGCTAAGATTGCAGGAGTTGATGAAAAGTGGGTGACTGACCGACTCCAAAACAAAGGTAACGGGCAGGGAATTGAGTGGATCCACATAAGGAAACTAATGAATGACCACCCTGATGAATGGAAGACTATAGACCTTTTTTGCACTAGGTATGTATGGCTTGATCATATTTCCGAAGATTTTGGGATGCATTGATGCAGCCGTGGTGGAACTGTTTGGGCAACTTCCGAAACGGGTTAACCTAGCACCAACCATCTTAGCCGAGACCTTTCGGTCTCTCAACCATTGCCGAAGAGCTGGCGGAGGTAGATTCATTGGATGTGTTCAGCTCCTTCAAGTCTGGATTCACAGCCACTTCTAAAAGAATAATGGGGTTGCCTACCACCGATTTAGCATTACGTATTCACCTTTGAGAGAGTTCATCACCATGAAATGGCATGAAG